AAACATAATCAAAGAGAAAGAAAAAAGTTGCAATTAGGAAAATAAAATCAAATTAGAAGAGATAATCCCTCAACATCTTTGGTAGTGTACGTCCACGAAGTCGAGCATAACTTTCTCATCCGGACTCCAAATCAACTGGTTTTGGCGGCATTAGAAAGCTATTTCAGCTGGCTACAATTCCTGTGTAACGTGAAAAATCCAAATTCGGACTCGAGCATGGTCAAAATTGGATTCCAAAAGCGATCATGAAAATACGTACTACAGTTCGAGGACATGAATGCGCATCGTGAAACGTGCACAAAAACTGTCGCTAGAAAGATACACACATAAGTAAGTATACAAAGGCATGCACAAAAGTACTCACGCAAAAGTGCATTCGCAAAAAGGATCATGAAAACACAAACTACAGTCCTAGGACATTAATACTTATCAACAAACATGCACAAGCACACTCGCTCAAATGGACATGCACAAACGTACATGTAAAAAAACATGCGCAAAAGTGCATTCGCAACAACGTTCTTAAAAACACGAACTACAATACTAGGACTTTTATACGCATCAACAAACAACAGCAAAAACACTAGATAAAAATGATACAGTGGAGTGTAGAAATAAAACTCTACGTTTACAATTACGTGTATTTTTTTTTTTGGATTAATTTATTTTCTGTTTGAATTGGTGGATTGGGTATCTTATAGGTACAAATCGAAAATTAGGTGTCCAGGAAGCAAAAATGATCAAAGAGAAAGAAAAGAGTTGAGAATTACCTTAAGGGAATCAAATTAGAAGAGAGAATCCCTCAAAATCTTTGGTAGTGTACGTCCACGAAGTCGAGCATAACTTTCTCATCCGGACTTCAAATCAACAGGTTTCGGCGGCATTAGGGAGCTATTTCAGCTGGCTACAATTCCTGTATAACGTGAACAATCCAAATTCGGACTCGAACATGGTCAAAATTGGATTCCAAAAGCGATCATGAAATTACGTACTACAAATCGAGGACACGAATGCGCATCGAGAAACGTGCACAAAAACTGTCGCTAGAAAGATACGCACATAAGTAAGTATACAAAGGCATGCACAAAAGTACTCACGCAAAAGTGCATTCGCAAAAACGATCATGAAAACACAAACTACAATCCTAGGACATTAATACAAATCAACAAACATGCACAAGCACACTCGCTCAAATTGACATGCACAAACGTACATGTAAAAAAACATGCGCAAAAGTGCATTCGCAACAACAATAAAAAAAACACGAACTACAATACTAGGATTTTAATACGCATCAACAAACAACAGCAAAAACACTAGATAAAATAGATACAGTGTAGTGTAGAAATAAAACTCTACGTTTACAATTACGTGGAATTTTTTATTGGATTAATTTATATTTCACTTTGAATTGGTGGATTTGATATCTTATAGGTACAAATCGAAAATTAGGTGTCCAGGAAGCAAAAATGATCAAAGAGGAAGAAAAGAGTTGCAATTAGGAAAATAAAATCAAATTAGAAGAGAGAATCCCTCAAAATCTTTCGTAGTGTACGTCCACGAAGTCAAGGATAAGTTTCTCATTCGGACTCCAAATCAACAGGTTCCGGCGGCATTAGAAAGCTATTTCAGCTGGCTACAATTCCTGTCTAACGTGAAAAATCCAAATTCGGACTCGAACATGGTCAAAATTGGATTCCAAAAGCGATCATGAAAATACGTACTGCAGTTCGAGGACATGAATGTGCATCAAGAAACGTGCACAAAAACTCTCGCTAGAAAGATACGCACATAGGTAAGTTTACAAAAGCATGCACAAAAGTACACACGCAAAAGTGCATTCGCAAAAAGGATCATGAAAACACAAACTACAATCCTAGCACATTAATACAAATCAACAAACATGCACAAGCACACTCGCTCAAATGGACATGCACAAACGTACATGTAAAAAAACATGTGCAAAAGTGCATTCCGAACAACGTTCTTAAAAACACGAACTACAATACTAGGACTTTAATACGCATCAACAAACAACAGCAAAAATAATAGATAAAAATGAAACAGTGGAGTGTAGAAATAAAACTCTACGTTTACGTTTACGTTGATTTTTTTTTTTTTGGATTAATTTATTTTATGTTTGAATTGGTGGATTTGGTGTCTTATAGGTACAAATCGAAAATTAGGTGTCCAAGAAGCAAAAATGATCAAAGAGAAAGAAAAGAGTTGCAATTAGGAAAATAAAATCAAATTAGAAGAGAGAATCCCTCAACATCTTTGGTAGTGTACATCCACGAAGCCGAGCATAACTTTCTCATCCGGACTCCAAATCAACTGGTTCCGGTGGCATTAGAAAGCTATTTCAGCTGGCTACAAAACTTGTCTAACGTGAAAAATCCAACTTCGGACTCGAACATGGTCAAAATTGGATTCCAAAAGCGATCATGAAAATACGTACTGCAGTTCGAGGACATGAATGCGCATCAAGAAACGTGCACAAAAATTCTCGCTAGAAAGATACGCACATAGGTAAGTTTACAAAAGCATGCACAAAAGTACACACGCAAAAGTGCATTCGCAAAAAGGATCATGAAAACACAAACTACAACCCTAGCACATTAATACAAATCAACAAACATGCACAAGCACACTCGCTCAAATGGACATGCACAAACGTACATGTAAAAAAACATGTGCAAAAGTGCATTCCGAACAACGTTCTTCAAAACGCGAACTACAATACTAGGACTTTAATACGCATCAACAAACAACAGCAAAAACACTAGATAAAAATGATACAGTGGAGTGTAGAAATAAAACTCTACGTTTACGGTTAAGTGGATTTTTTTTTTGGATTAATTTATTTTCTGTTAGAATTGGTGGCTTTGGTATCTTATAGGTACAAATCGAAAATTAGGTGTCTAGGAAGCAAAAATGATCAAAGAGAAAGAAAAGAGTTGCAATTAGGAAAATAAAATCAAATTAGAAGTGAGAATCCCTCAAAATCTTTGGTAGTGTACGTCCACAAAGTCGAGCATAACTTTCTCATCCGGAATCCAATTCAACATGTTCCGGCGGCATTAGAAAGCTATTTCAGCTGGCTACAATTCGTGGCTCACGTTAAAAATCCAAATTCGGACTCGAACATGGTCAAAATTGGATTCCAAAAGCGATCATGAAAATACGTACTACAGTTCGAGGACATGAATGCGCATCAAGAAACGTGCACAAAAAACTCTCGCTAGAAAGATACGCACATAAGTAAGAGTATAAAAGCATGCACAAAAGTACTCACGCAAAAGCGCATTCACAAAAAGGATCATGAAAACACAAACTACAGTCCTAGGACATTAATATAAATCAACAAACATGCACAATCACACTCGCTCAAATTGTAACACCCCGTAAATTATGCGAGAGTTTATTGTACTTTATAATGAGAATTGGGGGCTGATGTGTTATTATGTAATAATTTTGGGGCATAAGCATAATAATAATTCTATAATTTAGTAACTTGGCCATTAAGCAATTGAGGGGCTTGTGTAATCGGATAATTGAATGTTATTAACCAAGAAAATTAGAGAGAGAGACACGTAGAATAAAAGATGAGTCAGACTTCCTCTTCATCTTCATCCGATTCTTCCTACACTTCACTCCTCTTCTCCAAACTCCTTTCTCTCTCTCGCTCTCTCTCATCATCTCTCTCTTTCTCTCTCGCCCGCTCTCTCTTCCTCTCTCTCTCGATCCTTGGCTGAAATCATGGAAGTTAATTGAAGAAAAAAAAGTCGGATTTATAGTGGTGGTGGTCTCCAGTAGCAGTCGCCGGCGGTGGTGGCTGGAATCCGACAAAGAAGACGAGCTGTCCAGAATTTCAATTTCAGAGTTTTGCCTTTTCCGTAAATCAATTAAACGGAGGTCTTAAAGATGGAGCATCGATGATCCGAAGGTACCGTTCGAAACCTTAATAAGTTAGATTTCCAGTGGTGGTGGTTCTTGATTGTTTACATCAGCGGTGGTCATCGGAATTGGCTAGAACTTCAGCTCGCTCGTTGAAACGAAGGGAAGCAAATTCTGCTGCCGCACCTGTTTTCGGAGCCGAAATCGAAGGGTTTCGAATGCGAATTTCGAATCGGTTCCTTCAGGAAACTCGTAGAGGACATCGTAAACTATAAGTAAGTGTTCAATTGTATCGAATTAGAGTATGTAATATGCATGTTTTAGAGGTCCGAATCCGATGACAGTAATCTGCCGGAAACAGGGCAGTTTTGAGTATCTTCTTGCGGGACTGTTTTCCATATGTTGGGATCATAATTTGGGCTGTGCGTCTTGATGAAACTTGTAGATTAAGTTGTCAGGTTTCATTTGATGTATTATTTGGACAATTTGGATAACCGTACGATTTGTTATGATTTTTCAAACGGACTGTGACAGCAAACGAAATTATCCGAAAATCTGGCAGGTTTATGTGTTCATCTTTCGGGGTTGTTATTGACGGGTTATGTTGTTAATTTGGGATTAAAGTCTTCAGTAAACTTGTAGATACAGATGTTATATTTAACTATATATATCGTTTAGGTCATTCGGATAAGTACGACGATCGAAGTGATTATTTGAATAGAGTGCCACGAGAAGCAATTCTTAGTATATGTTTAAGAAATTGACTATGTCATATAGTGGATGGTAATATGGCTATATTACTGTTTCGATTCTTATTTAGTTCTAATATTTGCATAGGTGTTGAGCGTAGTAAAGCTCTCACTCAAGGTTTAAGCTTAAAGATGCTTCTATAGCACTTCTATAACACTAGCGTTGGACTCCAGGTGAGAAACTATGACTCCTTATCCGATTTCTTTCCTGCGCTTAATATCTCCTTTGTTTGAACCAAATATATTCTCCATCTTGAATCCTTTGATGCATTGATTATATTTTTCTTGGAATATGATCCTTAATGTTCTGCGAGCATATTCGTTTCCTTGGCTCGAACTTGGAACCTTGATCTTGTTCTTGAAATCTCGAACTTGTCAATTCTCTTGGTTGCTATGTTCACGGCTAATTCCTATACTTGATTCCTTGGCCTGAACATTTTCCTTGAACTCGATATTGAACTATATTTATTCTCAAAATCTTGTCTTGAATGCTTTCCGAGAATAAATATTTTGTTGGCTCGAACTTGAATCTCGTGTTTATTGAATTCTTTGAGATCTTGATATACTCGTTCTTGGAACCTGACATGGAATTTATTGTTCTTCTTGAATTCCATATTCACGACAATTCTTCATTGGCTTGAATTGAAATCTGAACATGTTCTTCATTATCCTGAGACTTGATATTCAATTATCATGATCGTGACTTATCTTGTGAATGATTGACTTGATTCTTGAATTGAGTCTTGAAATAAATGACTTGATATTCCTAAAAGGAATGATATTGATTCTTGAACCTATTGTCCCCACCCTTGAGGACGCTCTTGGGGGAGCTGGGCCCTAGGACCATTTCGGCAAGACGATCGGGCAGTATTGGGCTGACGATGACTGGTCTCCCGAATGGTACCTCCTGATGGTTCGGACTCACGTTCGTTTGGAGTTAAACGTTCCTGAGCCGGATCGGCACGTTCCGGTCGTGCCTCTTGCTTGTTTCCGACCGAGTGGCCACTCGGGACGGAGTGGAGGGATAAGGATGTCATATGATTTTATTTGTTGGGAGTTACAAGGTAGGAGACCCCACCAAATATTGAACTCAAGCCGTACATGTTACACTCTTGTACATGTTACACTTATGTTAATGAAATTCTTGTAAAGTCTCTCGTTATATGTTCTGTTCTGTTGATTCTCATCATACTCATGGATCATATGTTTTTCACTAAGTCATTCGGACTTATTCGTTTCTCCTTTCTGATATTAATGCGCAGGTAAAAGAAAGATTTATACCTAAATTTTCATACTAAGAGTTAAAGCTCGTGTATGCCTCCGATTAGTCTCGTCGAGAGGTATCTCTGCTTATGTTCCGTATAGTTTGATCGAGAATGTTGTAATAGAGTAAGTGGTGTCGAAGTCGACTTGTAATAGAACCTCCTTTTGTAAACACGATGGTATAGATATTGGGGGTTTAAAATTTTTATCATCGAAATTTTGAGGAGCATATTTGGGGTCATTGAATGTACTGCATGTTAAGTGGTGTTCCGCCACGAGGTGCCTGCTACTCGGGGCGGGGCGCTACAGGTGGTATCAGAGCTTTGGGTTGGCTTTGGGTTGGATGCCCGGGCGATGATGAAAAAGGATCTTTGAGAATTGTAGAGATATGAATTGAATCTTGGGAAATTGAGAAGATTGGTAGTAATCGAGTATTGAAGGCATTGAGATAATTCTTTAGCGACTATTACTGATGTAGATAGTGAGGAATACCCCGTAGAAATATCTATCATACACAACCTGAGACGGCTTATCTATTTGGTTACTTCAATTGGATTCCAATTCTCCCAATTCTCCAATGTTGATCACAAGTGAGGTTCCTAGTCTCACTGGAATTTGGTAACACCTTTTCTTGTAGACGTCCCATTCCATTTTACTTCATAACTTGACTTCCTTATCCAAACCATATTATCTCATTTTGAGTATTGATTTATGGTGAACCAAATATCCGGGAGTCCTTTTTCTTTTCACTCCTTATCATTCCAATGAATTCAATTTTGATTCGTTAGCCTATATTGTCTAATTTCATTTGTTGATCGTAATCGATTTTTCATATCTCATTTTAATACCTCATAGTCTTGGTTACCAATTTTATGAGGTTTCGTACCCTTTCAAATTCCGCATGTTTTGGATTATCTCTTGTTTTGAAGCCCCTTACCTTATTGTGCTACCATCTCCACCTTCTATCCTTTGTAAATATTCTATGGTTTCGGCTTATCTATTTGCCGAGACTTCTTATCCAGTTCACTCCATCTTTAGTGTTCAATTATTTTGAATACCATATGATTTTGGTCATGTTCTTGTGAGGTTCCTTATTTTGTTTCCACTACCATTTGCTTTTGATAATTGTGAGGTTTTCTATCTCTTTGAAGACTCTAGTTTCGGCTAATCTATTTGTCGAGACTTTTTATTTCCTTGAATATTTCTTTACTTATTCAATATATACTACTCCATTTTCAGTGTTCCAATTTCTTGAATATCTCGTGATTTTGGTCACGTACCTTTGAGGTCCCTATTCTCGTTTCATTTGGCTATACCATTGTTATTATTCAAATGTCGGGTCAATCTTTCTACCTATTTTGAGGTTCTTGTTTTTTTGGCCTAAAAAATTCAATTCTTGTACATGTATTGTTCCATTGTTATTATTGATCACAATGAAAATCCCATATCTCATTTCAAAACTCCATATCTCATTTCAATACTTCGGCATCTCGGTTACCTACTTTTTCAGGTTTCTGATTCTTTGAATACAATATTGCTTGACTATCTTACTTCCTTCCCACTATTGATCATGAGTGAGGTATTTGATCTCGTTTGAATGCCTCGATTTCCTTGTTCCGTTCTTTCTTTTTTGAGATTCCTCATCTCATTTAATACTTCTTGATTTGGATAGCCTATTCTGTGAGGTTTCTTATCCCTTTGAAACCTTGTGATTCGACTTCTTCATATCGCTTCTTGTTGTTCCCTCTCACTCATATGTCATGATTATTGATAATTCAGGGTAAAAGTTTGGACCTTGTTTGGGCAATGTCGTGTAATATGACTATGGTTGTATGCATCTATTGTTATATCATCTAATGGATTCGACTTGGAATAGTTTCGACGATTATCTTAGTCAACGGGAAAAGGTTATGTAGTTATCGCGACTTAGTAATTCTATAGAGTTTGTTGACTCTTAAGGTATCTTGAGCACTTTGAATTCTTGATTCTAATCGTCAGGGTACAGGGAGCTAAGTGCTATGCAGGGCAAAGTGCTACGGTGTGGGAGCCACCTCTTGAACCTGCGGGACAAAGTGCTACACAGCGGGAGCCACTTCTTAATCTTGCATGAGCCACCTCTAGAGTCCCTAGTATCCGATAACTCGGCTATATCTTGACATTGGATTATCAGTTTTTGCAATTCTATTCGGTTAATATCAAGAGCTAAGTGCTATGTGGAGAAGAAGTTTAAAGTGGAACACCTTTGTCAATAACACTATAGAGGATTGCACTTTTCTTTGTAAGATGGGAACGACAACTGCAAGAATTCGGCTTGCATGTTCAACTTGCTATAAATAAGTTTTGCCCGTCATGTCGTTTGGTTGAAGTAATTCACCATGGACATTACTAGACATAGTGTGTATACTGTTTCGGACGTGATTAGAGCGTACTTAGTATCGAAGAATGGCATTAGACTAGTTGACCTATCTTGAAATGGTAGTGAATTGAATGAATTAAGGCTACTCAATTGTCGGATATTCTGAGTCATGACTTCTCTACGATAAGTATTTATTAGGCATGCGGTTGCGAAACCACGGGAAGATTGTATCAACCGTTGCCATTTTCGATTACTCTTGATTTTAGAAGTAAAGCTCTCTTCCATCAACCGTTGCCTGGTCGATCTACTGTTCGAAAACCTTTTCCTTGCGAACGCCATCTATTATCAAGCCCTTCTAGTGTCCAATGTTGATACAATAAGTAAATCAGGCTTCGTCGTCCTCTTTGATTATAATTATGGTGCATTCAATTCCACTTTATGTAGACCAATGAGAAGAGAATTTTTGTGGACCGGGAAAGTAGTTGCCTCTTTGTCTGCTGAAGATAATTTAGATCCGAAATCTATCTCTTGTAGCCAACTCACATTGTCTCGATATAGATTATAAGTCATCTCGTTCTTATGAAAGCAACTATCTGCAACATAGGACAAAATTTCAGCTCGGAACGAGAAACGTTCGGAAACTAACTTATCATTTAAGTGGGTGACTGGACACACTGAAGTACATTGAAAATGTATAACGCGCATTATCGTGATGACTTAGGACAGCTACCAAGCAAGCGACAATACAAACAGTTTCGCAGTAGTTCGTGGGATAAAGTATCAATCGAGCTCGCAATTCAAGACTAGATGAGCGACGAACAACTAACGACGGCAAACGTAAGGGCTTGGAGATTCACACCAGGTGCTATCAGTAAAGTTCGACTTATCAAATTAAGATCAAAGCCTGCACAAGATTGTCAAAAGAGTTATGCATATGTGGAGCTAGATAAATAATTCTAATTACCACAAAGGTTCGAGCGAAACAGAGGAGAAGAAACACGTTCTCTTGAAGAATGTGACACGGATAACTAGAGAGAGATTTAAAGATTCGAACGATATCAGACCCTTATTAATCCCTTTCATTCCTCTCATCAGACCATTTATAGCACTCCTAGCTACAACCCTAACTCGATTATTTCCTCATAGTTGACGTACCTCACAAGTCCCATTAATTGGTTGACGAGCCGTATCTTGGCCTTCAACTACTAGAACGTTATAAATATTCAGCATCTTGCTCAACAGTAATGCTACATCGAGTATGAGACCGATGAATTGGATAATATTTCTAATGAAGTCGCAGATAACAAGGTTCCACGAGCAGTACTTCCTAGTACTACCTCAAATTTAAGTTGAAGTAGTATTTTTGAATTCATTACGATAGTAGTTTGACTCGTTACTTAAGTCAATACCAAGTTTGGGAAGATATAGATTGTCATGGAAACACTTCGTAGAGGTTTGAAGGACTAAGCTCACACTATTTCGTTCAATCTCGGATATTCTTCCTTGAAGCGACACGGCTTGAAGATAGATTACCCGCGTAAGTGTATTCATCTTAATGACGAATTCCTCAATCACAAGATTTGAAGGTATTATGGAGAAACCACGAAGCTAACGAAGCGATGGATGAGCAAGAAGATAATTTTAGGAAATTGTATTTCCATGTTCGAATAATAGTTGAGAATCTGGGGACCAGATTCCTTTAAGGAGGGGAGATTGTAACACCCCGTAAATTATGCGAGAGTTTATTGTACTTTATAATGAGAATTGGGGGCTGATGTGTTATTATGTAATAATTTTGGGGCATAAGCATAATAATAATTCTATAATTTAGTAACTTGGCCATTAAGCAATTGAGGGGCTTGTGTAATCGGATAATTGAATGTTATTAACCAAGAAAATTAGAGAGAGAGACACGTAGAATAAAAGATGAGTCAGACTTCCTCTTCATCTTCATCCGATTCTTCCTACACTTCACTCCTCTTCTCCAAACTCCTTTCTCTCTCTCGCTCTCTCTCATCATCTCTCTCTTTCTCTCTCGCCCGCTCTCTCTTCCTCTCTCTCTCGATCCTTGGCTGAAATCATGGAAGTTAATTGAAGAAAAAAAAGTCGGATTTATAGTGGTGGTGGTCTCCAGTAGCAGTCGCCGGCGGTGGTGGCTGGAATCCGACAAAGAAGACGAGCTGTCCAGAATTTCAATTTCAGAGTTTTGCCTTTTCCGTAAATCAATTAAACGGAGGTCTTAAAGATGGAGCATCGATGATCCGAAGGTACCGTTCGAAACCTTAATAAGTTAGATTTCCAGTGGTGGTGGTTCTTGATTGTTTACATCAGCGGTGGTCATCGGAATTGGCTAGAACTTCAGCTCGCTCGTTGAAACGAAGGGAAGCAAATTCTGCTGCCGCACCTGTTTTCGGAGCCGAAATCGAAGGGTTTCGAATGCGAATTTCGAATCGGTTCCTTCAGGAAACTCGTAGAGGACATCGTAAACTATAAGTAAGTGTTCAATTGTATCGAATTAGAGTATGTAATATGCATGTTTTAGAGGTCCGAATCCGATGACAGTAATCTGCCGGAAACAGGGCAGTTTTGAGTATCTTCTTGCGGGACTGTTTTCCATATGTTGGGATCATAATTTGGGCTGTGCGTCTTGATGAAACTTGTAGATTAAGTTGTCAGGTTTCATTTGATGTATTATTTGGACAATTTGGATAACCGTACGATTTGTTATGATTTTTCAAACGGACTGTGACAGCAAACGAAATTATCCGAAAATCTGGCAGGTTTATGTGTTCATCTTTCGGGGTTGTTATTGACGGGTTATGTTGTTAAT